TTTAATTACTGAAAGTGCCTTGAACATACAACGGGCATCCTAATAGCTTGTAAACTCTTCATACATTTACATACACAGTTAGCACGATCAAAAAGTCCCGGTCGATTACCCTTTAGAGCGTAATGCTTTCCGTGCGATCGATAAAGCTTATGACAGGGTCGTTGTCATGAATATGAGCGAACCTAAGATGATTTACATGGTCCTGACTACATCACAGCGTACATTTGGAGAGGGACCTGTGTGGATGCCAGCAACCAACAAAGACCAACCTTGCAGGCACATTTGTAGATTTTTAGATGCAACGGATGAAGAACGAGTTGCAGGAATCGCTTGCACAAAATCGCATTCTTCATGTGAACCCATCTACACGCTCATACGCAACCGTGGATTGTCGCATGTAGCCCCAAGCTCAAGCACAGTGCAGGAATGCAACGAATTAATTATCCAGTCACCTTTTAATGCGTGCGCAACCAGTAGAAGCTCTCCTATAGTCTGTTTTATACCTATTCTTCTTCGTGCAGTGCCATGTGACCTAAAGCTGAACTGGCGGTCGGTCATGTTAGCGATGAATAGGCAATCATTGTACAAGGCATTCATTCTAAGTGCTTCCACTGACAACCTCTGGTATTTTATTGGATTGGACGTCCATTGTGTTCCTCATAATGGTTATCTATCGACGATTTATTTCATTTAAAACTAATAGCCAAAGAGATACATGTAAGTTTCTAGATGGAGAATTTGTGATGGATGTGGGGGAGTGAAACTACGATAGGGGAGCACGCTCTGGAGCTCTCCATTTGACGTAAGTAAAATGGTTCAGACATCTGAACCAAGTTGCTAAATACTTTACAACAGCGTTTACCAAAAAATGAGTATGATGCTGTCAATGTATGTATTGACACATTACAGTATACTTGGCCAACGCGATCGGCACTTGCTTATGAGCTTGCAGCATTTTCTTATGTGGTCGTATTCATCTTTGATCGATTTTAAGCCAATCATGTTCGTGCATTACAATATTGGCCTAGCGGTAGTGATGCCTATTATGCTAATCGACGTTTTGAGGGGGAACTGCTGGATGTTACCTAGTACGTGTGAGGTAAGCCTAACCGCGTTTTTTACAGACACACACGTATAAGTACATTTAAAAAGTTCGGCATGCAACCTAGCGCAAACACACAAATATGTTCACTCTCGGGCTTGCAAAAAGCTAAGCATCGAGGGTAATGTGTGTGGCGTAGGCAATGCAAATGTCAACCTGTTGGCTGTGGAGTAGCTTAGACGTATAACGGTCGTTTTCCTAGGACGGGTAAGGCAATGTGCAGGCACAGACTAAAATAACATCACATCGCACTTGGTTAATCTGTCTGCGATCGTTCCTTCCTCTGCTTCAGCTCCTTCCATTCATTCCTCCTCCCCCTACACTACGATCAGAATCCTTTAGTGTTAAGCTCTGGCTTAGCACTCTTTTCGTCTACAATTTAGTTAAATGGCTTATCAAAGGAGGTTCAGTCGAATATCACACCGTTATCCTAAAAAAATTAACATCCCTAGCAAACGACCAGGATGGCTAAGGGTGTCTCTTTACTTGAGGAACAACCTAATAATGGTTTAAACAAAAGGTGAGAACCTGTGCTTGGGGTTTCTAGGGATATCATTCTACGGGTTTTGGGTACATTAAATTTAGGGGTGGAATTTGAGAGCGTGGTGGGTCTGGGTGAGCCTTTCCAATTTAATTTTTTTCAGTTATTGACTTTACTATAGCTGTATCTGATAAATTTTTAATCTCTCTAACTTTTTATGTAATTTTATTTATCAGCAAAATTTATCGGTATAATTCTCTGCATTCGACGCCACCATGATCTGATATTTAATAACATCTTTTAACTGATAGTGAATGTGTCCACTGAGGCTTAAGTTAGTAAAGGTAGACCTGCATCGCTTCTGACTTTTCAGGCTGCAAGTATGAGCCTGCGGTCGGTTACGTAAGGCGTACATTTAACAGGGCGTGCATTTAACAACTTGAGGGCGTGCATTCAACAGTTACCTACAAATAAAACAAAATCTGGAAATGTTGTAACAGCTAAATACCAACCAGAGCAATTTAGGCAAAAATTAAAGACCTAGAATTTTTGTTTGAGTTCTTTTACCTCTAATAATTTTGCATGCCTATTTCAGCTATTGTATCCAAGACCACCCTAAATTTGCGCAGATCAACTTTCACGTACGAGGGTTTACTCGTACCTCGCATCAACACTAAAACGCCGCTGATAGATGGTTTACCTGTTCTCCATACGGTGCCAATTCCGCTCTCTTGTTCTTGAAGTGGCTGCTACTCCGCGCGTACTTCTCAGTTGCAATTCTTGAAAGGTCATCATGGTCATATATTTAATGCGGTCTATATTCATTCTACGGATAAAATATGGGTGTATGAATATTTGGGGGTATTGATGCAGCCTAACGCAGCTGAACAAATGAGCTCGCAGTTTTGAGCCAACTGTAATATCATTCAGCTATGTCCTATCACGTTTTCTTGCCGTTTGACGAGCTACTAATCAATTAGCAAAACAAGCATAATGTGGTGTTTCACTATAATATACCGGCCTGACCACCTGTGTAACTTTTCTTACGATTCCCACCTCCATTGTGTCACGTTGAAGTATAATGTAGGTTTTTTCTGTAGCCATCATTTTTAAAGGCCCGATATTGTTTGTCGCGATCCGCAGCTAGTTGGCCTTTGGTAATCTAGTGTGACAAGCTACCCTCTGTCTAGATCTTGCCATTCTATGCCAGTTCATTGACATCGAATGAGTTGCAAGCCCCTTCATCCCCCGAGCTGTAAACGTACGAATGTTGCGCTCTAAGTATATATTTTTGCGGCGAGCACGTCGCACTAAATGATAACGATATAATTTAGACTCGTACCCGCGCTTGCGGATACAAGATGCGACAACCAAATTTGTACTTTGCTCCTCTGGATTTATGATTACAGTGTGCATGCACGCGTTAAATGTGCTGGTACAGATTACTTTTACTTAAAATTTCGTGCTCAACTCTTTTTATTCAGTGCATATACTTTGAACGACGATAGCGTGGCGGCGATTCACGAGACATTGCTTTAAAAATACGTCACCGAACCAGCAGTACCGATAATTTAGTTGGGCGCGTATCGGTATGCAGGCAATTGCTATTAGGCTTTATCGGACCCACCACTGATTTGCACTACTGGCTCATTATTTCATTACTGGCTCTTTTATTTCACCTCAAATTGATGTTAGCCAATTATAATTGGCCGACTTTATGCTTTGATATACTGTTATTGCTAACACTACGTCGTCGTCGTTTGCGCTCTCGTAGCCAATCAAAATGTGACTTTACAATCTTAATCTGCTTACTAAATCTGACTCTGATCATTTCATCCTAATTTAGAGATACTTATCCTACTTTAAATTTTAATCGTATTCGCTGGAAGGCGAAGAGCTGCAAGGGCCCCATGTAACGGAGGAGATGAAGAGATCAGAGACTTGTGCCCTTCCTAGATAACTTACACATTCTGACTTTTTGGTGCATAATATCATTGGAGAGCATACTCCACTCGTTCGAAACGTTAGTTTGCTTACGTGTGTCTGTTTGCTTTTCTATTCGCTGAGAAGACCTGTGAGATTCCGCCGTTATTGAAGAATCGTCTAAAAATGATTCGGATTCAGCAACCTCTAACTTTGGTTGCCTTGAAGCTGGATGCATCGATGACATTGGCGCCATTGTTGTCGTCGTCATGGTAAGTGACGTTTTTGTTATCTGCATCGCTGGAAAACCTTGATGTGCTTAAACATGCGGTAGATGCTTGATGACCGTGCCTCTCGATATTTGCACCAGGAACGCAATCACCGTGGTGATTACATAGCCATTTCTGCTAAAAGAAGACACGATAGTTTTAAGACATGATTATGTACGCAGGAAACAAGTGTAGTAAGCCTTTTAAGAGGGTTACTGCGTCATTTTATAGACACCGCTTAGGCTTTATCGACGTGTTGAACCACTGTGCTCTCTGAATTGTATCTTCGCAGCTCATTGCCTGCCGGCAACTATCACAAAGCATATACGATTAAAAATTTGAAGTAGAGTAGGTATATCAAAATTAAGATAGGAACATCAGAATCAGATAAGGAATTACAAACTAAGATTGAGAAGTCATATTTTGATTGGTCAAAACTAATTGCCGATTCAGTGACCCACTCGCGACCGGTACGTTTACCTTTTGCCTTGTTCGTGCTCCTAGAAAACAGACCTGCATGCAGTATGCCTTATGTGTGTAATGGGTGATTCGATCCAATGCAAGTCCACATAGATGAAGGTAAAACGCGCATACGTTTGCATTGGTTAAATGGTTCCAAACCTGAGCTGCAGTGTTCTTTCTAATGCTTCTATACTTTTCACTCTATATGAATGTTCGCAAGTTAACGTGGACAAGAATGCAGAATCACCACACTCTACATACTCTTCCTTTCCTTAGTTTGGCAACCGACACACTTTGGCAACTGGCACACAATAGCGAGCTTACGAATTGCGATATGGTCGAGACGCTTGTTCTCCACACTACGAGCTCAAACATCTCAGTACTTTAAGCTAGGGTCGCCTTCGACCATGATATCGTACACATAAACTCGCTAAAGATAGAAAGAGAGACGCTAGTAAGGAGTCGTTTGTGCATCTAGATGGTGGCAGTATGAAAAGCGAAACAACAGCTAAGAGGAATGAACAAGTATTCTTCCGCAAGAGATTTAGAGCTGCAGTAACTCGACCACTAATCGCAACCGTTTAAAGGCCCATCGACCCACACGCCTTGTCATCGTCCGCGGCATCAATTGCCTAGCTGTCTCCAATCAAGATAGATCTGACATTCGACAGGCCCTAATGTTTGGACACACACCAGCTTGGCCAATGCTGGCTTGAATAAAACCCGCTGGTAGATTGTCAGCTTCTGCGGATTACGGAGCATCCTATACCGCGCCCCCACCGAGACCTGGATCGGTCACCGTACCCGTAGTCTTTACAGGGGCGTTACCTTCAGTCTTCTTTGAAGGGTTGCTGGCGTCCTGAGATTTCGCTGGCCCGACACCACGAGTATCAGCGGTCGTGACCGACTCCTTGGGGATCACGTTTCTCGCAGCCTCGCCCTCGGTCTTTGGAACAGTGACCACACGCGGCGTGACAAGAGACTCGGGCCCCTTTTTGGTCGGATCCGCTTCCTTTAATGGGAGTGGGGCGACCTTCGATTCCGAGGTAGCAACCGTGGGATTCTTCTTAATCTTGTCATTAGCCTTGACATCACCTTCAGCACGAGGTCCGGGGTACGGTGGTGGCGGACCTTGATCATCGACCTTCTTTTCTGATTCAGCCTCGACCTTTGCTTTCTTCACAACCTCAGCCTCCTTCTCCGTAACCTTTTCGGCTTCGACTGGTGGAGCCGATGGAGAGACTTTCACGTTCTTTTCCCCGTGATTGTGGTTGCTGTGGCTGCGGTTGAAAAGGTTTATGATCCACTTGAAGAACGTGATTTTCTTCGACCACTCCTTAAGCGCCGCGAGCTTCGTCATCAACCAGCTCTTCTCTTGAACTGCGCCGTCTTTCACATGAGCGTTCGCTCCAGCCACCGCATCCACGACGCTCTTCGTCTCCGACATGACCTCGTGAGCAGCATTAGCCGCCACTGCTTCTACTGCACCTCCTGGCGGACCTCTTTCCTCGAACAGATATGAATCATGCGACTCATCTTGCGCATGAGCTTCCCTCAGCAGCCTCTGCGCGTGTGCGACGTAGTCGTCGCCGTGCGTCTTGTGAGCCACTAGAGACAAGCCGTGCTCAGGAACAGCCTTCAAGTTACCAGCAGTCGGGACTGAGTCGCTGCAAGACAGCAGAGCAGCCAGAGTGGCCACTGCGGTGTAAGCCAGACGCATACTTCTTGACTCTTGTTGCAGTGAACGGGTCGAGTGAAGAAGTTGTTGGTTGTGAACTGCAGTTGGTTGTGAGACGGTGAATTCGGGAATGAGGTGTCTTGAGGCACCACTCGAAGCTCCTCGACCGCTGGGTGACGAGGGATCAACGTATGCGACAGCTCCGAGCTGTGGCAAAGCGGGAGAACTGGCGATACGATACAAAAGTTGACAAGCGCGTCTGCTTCGTGCCTTGGAAATAGCCAGACTTGCATTTCGAGAGCCGTCTTCGGAGGTGATAGGCCGTACAACCACCGGATTCGCAAAGGGATCAGCGTCACAGACCAGACTTGAGAGATGTCAGCCATCCTGGACCTCTGAAGGCTCAGTAGACACGTCTGCTCATCTCCCTCGCCTCAAGTTCAACTTTCAAATTCAGCAGGTCTGATCCGGAGTAGGTCATAAACCGGCTACGGCGGCGACATTATAGTCGCTTATCGAGTTACAGAAGGTTATGTGAGCTGTGTGCAACACGACAGCTTTCTTTCTGAGCCATTTGTAGATTACGGGTTGTTATTGATTTAAGTTCTAGATACAAGGCGACAGACGAAATAGAGTGCACATGTTCACAAGCCCTCGAAAGCGACGAGTACCGACACTTCATACTGTGCACACTCACATTGACCGTCTTTACGCACGCAAATCTGCTCGAGGGAAAAAGAATTTGATTGGTAGGCTGATCCCGCGACCAGAAGTGTGCCAATTACCCGTCTGCTTCAAAGCCATTGGATCCTGTGTTGTGCTGAGCTGAGCTGTTAATGCCGGCTTGCAGCCGACATGGATGGGCCTCGTAGATAACAAACGTGATAATGCTGCCGTGCATCACATGCACGCTTGCGGTCAAACGACGCTTTAAGCGACTCATACAGCCTTTATCCCTTGATGGAGATTCCACGAGCCCCGCAGCAATCCATCTATCCACTGGAGATTGTCAAGCCCTAGGACAGGTATCGGAATGACTGCTACCAGACGAAGCTATCCATTCATTCGATCGTTGCGCAGATGCGTTTACAGACGATCTGATGCCGAGGCTGTCTGCAGTTCCCCAGATACAGATGGCATTACAGTTCTCCTTAAGGATCGTGCAATGCGAAAAAAGCATTCCTTAGGAAACAAACTTCCATACAGCCTCCTCGCTCCTTCTTTTTCGATCTTCATCGAGATGTGCTTTTGCCAGCACACTGATCTTTCTATCCGTATGATGGGTTACAGTGCAGACAGTGGTGTATTGCTTGGGGCTACAGTCCAGCCAGTGGTGCAGTGCTTTTACCCTCCAGCCTGTGCAAGCTCCGGCTATCTGGACAGACCATGGTCTGGCTGGACGTGACCGTATGTATTACGTGCAATGCAGCCATTATGGAGGTCGTCGCGTGAGACGGTCGAGCGGTTTTCAACTGTACGTGGATCTCTCCACTTCTGACGAGGCTTCGTCACTGTTGTGAATCTGTGCGTATTCAGTGTGCACAGCTCATAGCATTCCCTTTTTTTTTTTTTTTTTAATTAATTTTTGGGGGGAACGGCTCCCTTTGGCCCCTTTGCAAATATACTGGATGCAAGCCCTCTTTGTACGGATGCACTCCTTAGCACTACATGCAACAACTGCGTGAAGATGAATGTTGGCGCGTTTCTAGAATCGCTGCAGCCTCTCGAGCGTGAGGGAGGGTCACCCTGGAAGCATCAGAATACCACCACGAGGACGACAGGGTCCACGATCCACTTCGGTACGCTTCTGTCAGCTCCATCCAGTGCTTCAGTACGTATTCCTACGCGTGAGCAGCACCAGGTGCATCTGTCGCTATGCTGCTGAAGGCGAATGGATGATTGTCATGTGTTGCAAGCGCACGTCGCGAGAGACCCCATCTGACCCTCTCATGCTTCAACTACTCTAGCGACTTGGACAGATTGGCGCGTTGAGAAGACCCCGGCTCCTCCTTTATAGATTGCTGGACCCGTGACGCTGACGTAGCGCTATAGCTGCATGGTATCTCCTCGCCAAAACTGCGGCCACGACACGCCAACGCGGAGATTAGCCGGTGCCAATGGCGAGTTGTCGTCAACTCCGCCTGAAAAGGACAGAGACCTCAGCAATCCCATCAGCATCCCTTGACCCATGCCAGTTGGCCCCCACACTGCGACAGAACGAAGCAACCATGAAGTGTCTCTATCAAGTGCCGCCCACATCTACCACTCCTAGCATTACTCCACAGCAGACAATTGCACTCCTGTAGCTTCGGATGAATCTTTTAGCGATGTAGGTCGAGCAGGAAAAGCGAAGACATGCATGCTATTTGACAAGCTCACGCATTCCACGTTGTGTCGACAGATTTCGATGCACAAGGTGGAACTAATGACATTTCCAGTCAGCACATGCGTAATAATTATCAGGTAGAAGTCGGCCTTACTCATTTGAAGCACAATCCATTAGGTGCTGCTCGTTCTTCCAGAAGCCTATCCCGTAGTTTACAGGGCATCAGCAGAAACGAAGCAAGAAAGCTTCGAGCTATCTATAACATACTTTAGCGAATGACTCTGTGAGAAGTTCGTCGGCGAGAGGGAACCTGGCTCTACAATCAATTTTAAAGTATCAGATATCAATTCGTCGGATGGGTACACCACGGTCTTAAAGCACGTGAGACGTTGAGAACGGGTAGATTCGAAACGTGGCAAATAAGTTTGTGGGGACAACATTCCATCAGCACGCAGAGGGACTCGTTTCACGTACTTGGTAGAAATTTTAGTGTTCAAGGGCGACAGTCGAGTCGATTAGGTCCTTGGAAGGCATAATGGACGTCAAGAAGCGATCGAATCTCTGGATTTGGCTATGAAGGAGACTACTAAGACTCTCGCCGGAGCGAATAGTACGGAGGAATGGTACTTGTTCTCCACAGAAATGAAGCTGTCTACCGAGCGGCAACCATTGATATCTGTGGGAGCATGCAAAGTTATTGGACCACCTGCATCTGTCACCTGTGTGCAATCGCGAAGAGAGAGCATCGGAAAATAGCGACTGCAACTCATGGTGCCATGCTTTGTGCATGCATTGAGTTGCTGGAGCGCGACCCTACCTGGGTGGCATTATTTACTGGCCCCAGTCATAATTAGCCCCGAGTCACCTACCGGCGATCACGGCATGGCTAACGACATACCAGAGACCTTGCATGTAGTTAACACAACCATGGAAAAAGACAATCTGAACTACCACCATCTACTTGTTCTTTGTACTAGTAGTAATAGTAGTAGTAGAAGTAGTAGTAGTACTAAAAAAAGTATTGGAAGTAGTAGTAGTAGTTGAAGTACAGTCCACGTCAAAAGTGACACCACACTTCTTAAAAGGTCTCAGCGACTATTATATAATAAGAACTACTCTTTAAACATGATAGGTCTGTTAGTGTATTTAATACGGTGCATGTGGAATCAGTGTTATTTAGCAGGTCGTGTCGGGGTCTCCCATACAAATGTCGAACAATGGGCGTGGCCAAAGATAAGCCTCGTTTATCCATACAATATTCAAGAATAAAGGCGTAAGAAAGGCTGCATTTATTCAATAATGGGTCTTGTTGCCACGCGACTTGGTGACTTCAATGCATAGTTTTAGCACTGAAGTTACCGGGTTGCGCAGGGCTCCTGACTCGATACCTGCCCACTTCGTCAAATTAGCCTTGTTAGCTCGTTGACATTGTAATTGTAGGTGGGCGCTTCAAGCTGCCACACACTACCTTAACACACACCTTCAGGCACCAGCAAGGAAGCAGTTCTACTGTCTTTTCATGCGTGCAACGAGGTTCGGGTGGGGCCTTACGACTGCCTCATGATTGATAAACGCTTTTTTATTGTAAGTTAGGCTTGAACACAGTTTCCCGTTCTCCGGAACACACGTTAACAAGGTTGCAAATAAAAGACTGATTTTTATTTAATTAAGGAAAATTGATAGGTACACACCCACTCTTTGATGCGTACACTGTAACGGGGTAGTCCTTTACATGAAATTGACACCAAACGGTGTTAATAGGAGCATTGTCTAGCATGACTATATTCTACCGATATTATCCGATATGAATAATACTGAAGGAATATTATCCCCTTTTGGATAATATTCATTCACTGCTCCAAAATTGGTTGATATGAGACATAGATTGCAACCAATGGCAGCTAGACGCGCGAAATGAGTGGTGAGCAGGTCGTCGTCATACGACGGCGTAGTTTAATATAGTTAGATAGAGATTAAAGTTTTATTGATAGCTTAACTATTTTAAGTACAATTCTCTTTTTACCCTTTGCTCAGCTTAGTTGTTGAGTAGATTAGCTTCCTCTGCACGTACTAGTGTACGTGAAGTTTCGCGGTACCCCAAACAAAGGGTGCCCTGTGACACCTGGTAGCACTTCGTAGTCCGTCCAACTACTGCTTAGTGTCCGTCCAACATGAACATGCTGGACGTAGAAGACGACAGATTTTACGTCTAACGTGAAGGCTACTCCCATCTGAGTGACTAAGAATAAGAGGTAGTCGGCCGCATGAGTGTGCTCATGGGCGAACCCGCCATCAGTGGTATGTTTGAGTCTCTAAACAGAGACCAGCGACATGCTGCTATCAACAAGTTCCTACAAGGGGAACTTGCCGTCGAGCGACAGAAGATAGCCTTGCTACAGCAGCAAGGCTCTCATCAGTCGATGGGCGGGTCGACGCATGTGCGTCGGCCCGAAAACTTGAAGATTGATATCTCAAGGTACAAGGGAACCGATGAAGATTCACTTTTGAGATGGTTCGTCGAGTTAGACGATGCCGTCAGGGCCCGTCACATCGAGGGTGACAAGATGCAAGTCACCTCCGCCCTGTCAAATTTGACAGGACAAGAAAGACTTGGGCCTTAGGGCTCAAGCTTCACGACCCAAACGTGTTTGAGTCGTTGGAGATCTTAAAGTATCGGCTCGAAGAGACGTTCGACCCGCCGAGAGCCGAGTCAGAGCACGCTCTGCACTCTTGAGGCTAAAGCGAGGTAAGCGTGACGTGCATGCTTACGCACAGCACCTGCGCTACCTTGCGAGTAGCGTTACGGAGAACCCTGTTGATGAGCACACACTCATCAACGTGTTCATCTACGGCCTTGTAGATGGGCCGGCGAAGACCTACATATTCCGAGAGGACTTCCATACGCTGGAGAAGGCGATAGCGTATGCGATACAAGAAGACTTCAGCCTAAGACAGTCTCAGGCTAACTCGTCAAACTATCGTCCGATGACACGACAGGAAACAGGAGGTCCCGAACCAGTGGACCTCTGTTCAACGAGAGCGAGAACTCTCGCTCTCTGAGTCACAAGAAAACGGCAAGATGCCATCGCTGTCAGAAGATTGGGCACTACGCTCATGAGTGTAGTGTCCCAAGCACCGCACCAATTCCAAAACCAGGACGTGCTGACGGCCGTTGGCCAAGGAAAGGTCCAAGGCGCGGGTAAAACCATGTTGCGAAGCTGTGACAGCAAGTGGAACCGCCAAAAACGGTCAAGGTCAGGGCGAAGCACCCTGCTGATCTTTTTAATTAAGACAAACTGCAGGACTCTTGACGAAGATTGCTCGCATCACACTGTCGCTGTGTTTCTCTACCTTGTGATGAGGTGTCCTTCATCAATTTAAAGATCGAAGTGACAAGTGGAATGTCACTTTTCGCCCTAGTTGACTGTAGGGCGTCGAACAGTTTTAAATGACGTCAGTCACCAGGGGATAGTAGGCTCAACTATGTTGAGCGATAGATCCCTAAAACGCGAATGACGGCGTGCCTTGCTACAGGCGCATCCGTAATAGTGAACAAACGTGTAGTGGGAATCCACTACACGCTAGAAGGAAAGCAGTATGATGATGACTTTATCGTACCGGATTTGGATGAAAAATTTGATGTCATCCTTGGTCTGCCATGGCTTAGAAAGTACCGGCCATGGGTTAGTTGGCAGCATCGATCCGTGAAGATGCCTGTCGTTTGTTCATTGGATGGCCATCTGATGAACGTCTTGGAGCGTCCACAAGCGTTTGGATGTACTACGAGTGAGTGTGATGGCCTCACTTGTGGTAAGGTTGTTAGTACGATTGCACTAGATCACAGTGTGGAAGGCCACTACACTGTGGAACCAGCTATCGACACCTGTGTAGAGACACAGGCTGCGCCGAAGGCTCACCACTCGAAGAGATCGAGTGGACAGGAACACGGATGCACACCAAGAAGGGTGCATCCGAGAAGAGGGTAGTGTTGTCCAGGATGGACAACACGTTGAAGCAAGATCGACTATCAGAGAATCGATCGTAGAGCAAGCCCGATCGACTGAAAGAGAGTCGATCGAAGATGACGTGACCGTGATAAGACACGTAACGAAAGAAACCTTTAGCGTTCCTGAGAGCAATTACTCCCGAGAGAGTTATGCTGAGGGTGTGGATCCTCAACCACATGCGGATGTGTTTTCCCAGGAAATCACCGAGTCAGTTAATGTCTTGGTTAATGACGGATCAAGTGTAGGCGCTTACACACTTGATCTATTAACACAACCGCAGTCATCTTAGAGATAATCAAGTTACTAACGCTAGAATCAAAAATATTCTTGCGAAATCTGCGTAGTGACAAGATTAAGCAGATCTGCGCACTCGTCACAGAGGACGAGTATTCGTCGATATTCGGTAGGCACAGGTGTATGCTGAGAACGAACGGGTTCTCAGTAGCTCATCTTTGGATAAGAGTGGCGTCGTTGAGAAGAACAGATTGAGCGATACACGTCTCAATCTTGGGAGTATTTGAAGACAAATCCTTTGTATAAGGATTTGGTTGAATTCAGGGATGTTTTCCCTGAATCCGTGCCATGCGAGCTGCCCAAGGACAAAGGCACTCGGCTTGAGATCGAATAAAAACCCGTTTCGAAGTACTGTGTCATAAAGCAGTGGCCACTGCGATCTAAAAATTCTTTGCCGATCAATTAGCGGCTGGTAATGTTAGGGAATCAATATCCCCACACAGCTCTCCGACCTTCTGTGTGCAAAAGGCCACAGGAGGGTGGCGGATAGTGCACGCATTCAACAAATTAAACGCTGCAACGGTACCGGCTCAAACGCCGATCCCAAGAAAGGATGTCATCATAGATGGTATGGCAAAGAGTACCATCTTTTCATCCATGGATTTGATGGATGGATTCTATCAGATCCTCATGCGTAAACGGAATATCCCTAACACATCACTGAGCACGCCTAGCGGCATGCTCTGGGAATGGCTAGTAATGCCACAAGGGCTAAGTAACGCCCCCGCAACATTTAACAGATGTGTTTTAAATCTGTTGCGATCGTTGCGCGACTTCGCACCGAGTTACTTCGACGATGTCTTCGTCCATGGCCGGGCTATGGATAGAAATAAGAACGTGGATGTTCATGGAATCCACGTCCGGAAGGTTCTTACTCTAATGCGAAAGCATCAATTGTATGCGAACCTCAAGAAGTGTATATTCGCAGCGAACGATTTACCACATTGGTTGCATCGTGGGTAAAAACGGTGTAAGCCCTGATCCGGAAAAGATCAAGGCGATTAGCGACTGGCCTGTGCCAGTCGATGTCATGGGACTTTATAAGTTTGTTGGCGTGGCAGCGTATTTGCACAAATACTCGCGCAACTATGCCGAGATGACTGTATATCTCTCTCGTTTTTATAGAAAAACGAGAGGTGGTCATGGAGCGCTGAGTGTCAGCACTCTTTTTAAGGCATCAAGAAAAGCTTGGTGCAATCGCCTGTGTTAACGATTGCAGATCAGGATAGGACATTACATGTGGTCTTTGACGCCAGCGATTTTGCAATCGGCTGCGCGTTAACGCAAAACGACTCAGACGGCGTTGAGCGCGTCGTCTGTAATCAATCGCGTCAGCTGCAAGCAGCTGAGCGTAATTACCCGGTGCGTGACAAGGAACTCCTTGCCATGAAAGATGCGCTGGCCAAGTTCCGTGAGTATCTCTTAGGAGACAGGCCCTTTATCGTTCATACCGACCATGTGTCATTACGCACGACCGTAAACAGTCCACACCTCTCGCAACGAATGGCGAGGTGGCTGGCTTTCTTCGCGGAGTACAACTTCTCCGTCGAGTACAAACCAGGACGACTTAATGTCGTCGCTGATGCTCTTTCGCGTCGGCCCGATTTAAAGCCGACTGGTCAACCTAACAGTAAGGGTGATCCCACTGTCGTAACACTATCAGTGGTGTTCTGTCGTCGATTCTGCTCGATGACGTGCGAAAGGCATGCACCGAAGATGAGTCTCTTCTGCGGTTGATGGATTACGTATCCAATCCATGCAGTCAAGCTTTGAAAAGCTTGTCGTCTTAATACCGCTCTTTAATTAAACGGTTCCGTTCGCGATGGACTGCTGTACTATACAGCAGTCAACGACGGCACACCTCGTGTCGTCGTTCCGGCTCATCAAGATTTGCGATTGCGAATCATGTTGAAGTGTCACGATGCCCCAACAAGTAGGCATCGCGGTTGAGAGAATACTTACCTCATGGTGAGTCGTGACTTCTACCGGCCCCTCCAGTATGAGTTTGTGCGGAAATACATTCGCGCTTGCGAAGTTTGTCAACGGGTGAAGCCTAGTCCTTCATCCCGTGCACCCTTGCATCCTCTTCCGATCTCGGCAGAGTGTTGGCAGTCCGTATCGATGGACTTCGTCTTCGGGTTTCCCAAAGACGTTCACAAGAATACTGGTATTCTTGTGTTTGTTGATCGTTTCAGCAAGATTGTATATCTTGTTGCTGTACCGGAATCAATCACAGCCCAGGGCTGTGCCCGTGTCTTCATCGATACTATCTTCCTACTTCACGGGTTACCACGTGAACTCGTGCCCGATAGGGACCCCCGCTTCACAGCGGAGTTCTGGCAATCCGTGTTCCGTTCACTTAGAACACGTTCGAAGATGCCAGCTTCTGACCATCTTGAAACAGACGGTCAGAAGGAACGCGTCAATCGCGTTCTCGGAGAGATGCTTCGAGGGTATGTCCACTCGTTTACGAGTTGGAGTGAGTTCTTGCCGATGGCGGAATTCGCCATTAACAACTCGGTGCACGCGTCTACAACACGTACACCGTTGTTTGTGAATCGCCTATGCCATCCATGTTTACCCGCCTTCTTAGAGTGTGACTCTAGTATGAGGGGGGGGCTCGCTCGAACGACATCCGATCTAGTATGTGCTCATCACCCGTCGACAATGTTGTCGACGTGATAGACGCCGATGTCGATGGGATCGATATCGACGATGACGATGACGACGATGCTGGCATATTCAGCAACGCCAATGACCGCCAAAGTGAGGACGATGATACTATCACTGGTGAAGACAACGTTCTTTCAGCAGTGCACACGAAGCGCACTGCTGTTGACAAGGATGAATCAGCAGAGGTATCTGCTGACTCGCGAAGCGGTTGTCCGCTTCGTTCAAGACTCTATCGCAGATGCACTAGACAGACAGAAGAGAAACGCAGACAAACATGGAAGAGCAAATGTTCTTTCATTTTATGATGTAGACCTAGTTTTACTGTCTACAGTAAATCTACCGAAATACGCAGTGACAAACGTGGGCAGCAGCAAATTAATTCCCAGGCACATCGGTCCATTTCGTGTGTTGCGCCGAATGGGCAACGCATACACGATTGGGAACTGACCCATAAGATGCGTACGCATCCTACGTTTTACGTTAGCGTCTCCGCCCGTACTATCAGTACGAGCCCGTTTCGAGATGCGAAGAACACCTCCGCGGTGGAGAGCCGAGACCACCTTCAAGGGGTCCCGTTTCAGCGAAATCGTCTGGTCAATTAGCGAAGCGACCCGTTCACGCAGCTCAGCGATGTCTCGACGAGCTACAGCCAGCTCATCACGAAGAGAGCGAATCGAACGGTTTTTTTTAAGTTGCGCGAACGCAAACGCGGCACGATCGTCCGAACGATCGTGCGTTATGGAATTGTAATTATCCCTTACAAGATCCTGAAGCTCATAACGCCGCGTACGTTCGTGAGCCAGGTCATCTTGCAACTGTTCCGTTACACGGTTCAGCTCTTAAACATCAAGCTTATCCGACCCTCGAGCCGGATCAGGTGTTCCCACCGCCACCACATCATTTGGTGGACTCAAGCGGTGGTCAACGCTATCTAGTGGAGCGCACCTTGTACCACCGCGATGTGAATTGCGTCCGGACGAGTTACCTCGTCCGCTGGCGGGGCTATCCACCGGCGTGGGACAGCTGGGAGCCTCGTGACCAGCTGATTGTTAATGTCCTTGATCTCGTCGAGCAGTACGACGAGACCCACCCGCTGCGTTTGAAAAAGAGCCGTCGAAAAACGACCTCCCCGAACGCGAGTACAGGGATTGCAAGGTATCAATCCCTTCGGCCATCTCGGAAGAGATGCGCACCCTCCAGTAGGGATCATTGGAGAGGTAGGCCTCCCTAGGGGCAAGGTTTGAGTTTTCCAGGCAACCTGGACACGAATCACCCCACGAGAGACAGGGTAATCCTGCCTCTCTTGAAAGCCGGTGCAACTTGAATTGCGCCCCGACTGGGTTGCGTTTCTTAAACCTAATGCGAGCTGCATCAAGTTTGGAGAGCCAGGCCTCACGGCCAATGCACTCACAGTTGTGGATGAGGGCATTCCACCCTTGCACCAAGGCTTTGCCGTCTCGAACACGGCTACCGTTGTTCCACCGATGTTTAAAAAACCGCATCGGTGAAGAATTCTTCCTGAGCACGGATATTTTCCGTGCTGGAATCAGGTGGGCAAATCTTCCTGCAATCGAACAACGGGATTCGATCCCGTTCGGTAGTCATGCCGGCCAAACGGTCCAACTCTCTGGATGGCGGCATCCACGGAGACTCCACTTGAGGAGCGTGGCGCAGGACATTTCGGTCCCTAGCCTCTTGATCGGTGCCAGCACGAGCACTGGCACCAGTGTTACCCCGGTCCCTTGAGTTACTTCGCTCGTGCTGATGTATAGGAGCATCACCGCCATCCTGCTCACCACTCATTGCGTGCGTCTGTCGTGGCGCGTCTTCGTTGGTTGATATAATGGCCTTTATCAACAAATTAGGAACCACTCGTAAGTGCTACAGAATATTTGTCCTTATGACAATATTCTGAGAATATAACTCCTCACGCGTCCTATCGTCGGATGGACTTGCGTGAGGTGGAGACTCATCGGAATAATCACTCAATCCGAAGATCTCGTTCATAATACCGCCGCGTTGACCAGAGCCAGTCAACCTGGCTCTTGCAGTGTCCGCACCGGGTGGCACCGAGGCATGAGGAGTCTCCTTCGAGTCGGATGCACCATTTGAATCGCCAGAATAGATGATTTCTATCTTAGACTCGTCTGGATTACGATTCGAGGTACCCGCTACAGACGCAACAGATGTACCTGTCGCACGTGGTGACTCATCATGTATAGGATTTAAGACAACAGGCGACGAATCACCTGCTGCTAAGGTGTGAGAGGCACTTTCCGCGGCCGCACGCAAGCGCGCAGCTGCCTTTCTTGCTGCTGCAGTAGCAGCTCGCGTGGTTTTCGAAACCACGCGTTGGATTGGCAAATGAATGGAATTTGACCAACAAGTACTCCCTTTCCCAGATTGATCCAACGGTCGTCACCCTGTCCCAACCAATTCTAATTCAATCAACGGGTGAATGCTGGTTAAGGGGGGGGGTGATGTAACGGGGTAGCCCGTTACATGAAATTGACACCAAACGGTGTTAATAGGAGCATTGTCTAGCATGACTATATTCTACCGATATTATCCGAGATGAATAATATTGAAAGAATATTATCCCCTTTTGGATAATATTCATTCACTGCTCCAAAATTGGTTGATATGAGACATAGATTGCAACCAATGGCAGCTAGACGCGCGAAATGAGTGGTGAGCAGGTCGTCGTCATACGACGGCGTAGTTTAATATAGTTAGATAGAGATTAAAGTTTTGTCGATAGCTTAACTATACTTATGCAGCTCTCTTTTTACCCTTTGCTTGGCCGAGTCGTTCAAGTTAGATTAGCTTCCTCTGCAAGTACTAGTGTACGTGAAGTTTCGCGGCACCCCAAACAAAGGGTGCCCCGTTACATACACACCTACATAAACTGCGCAAACTAATCGTTTACAACAAATTTTAACCTAAATCAATAGATAAGAAACTGAAGTAAGCAGCACTGCGATCTCCACCATGACCAAGTCTTCACTGCATGGATTATCTTCACTTCACTTCTCTTCACTTCGACAAACCTTTCACGAAAGAAGCCAGACAAACGGCGCTCAAAACGAGTACAACGGTGAGCTACACCGTCTGCTTTAGGAACTCACGTCGTTCTCACTCGTGGCCTTGGCGGCGCTCTTTCCCGAGGCGTTTAACCTTGCGTGTAACGGTGTAAGCCTGTTACACGTAATTAACCTCAATAAAAATTAGTCAGTATCATCATAAAGTTTGATACTGTTCGTGAGTATACCCATAACGGACAATATTCAGAAACACTCATCGATTGGCTGGTACGGTCCATCATATCATCCATCCCTAGCGGTCCAATCAACGATGGACGAGGGCAAAGAGTGATGAGCAAGACTTTAGCACATACTTTTGAAGATAAATATAATTAAGTCAGGACTAAACATAGGTTAATGATTAGGACTTGATTATTTTTAATACGGTTATACTTACTAATCCTTTTATTCGCGTCGCTAAGTAGCTAGTCTTCTTCAGCACGTACGGTGTATGTGAAATGACGCGCGGCAATACCTACACTTTTGTCAGTGTAGGACCACTAGTACTGAAGTAGTACTAGTGAATAGTTCACTAATACACCTGGTAGCCCTTTTAAGTTGGAACACAATCCCTACATCCATTATGAAAATGTGTGATGGTGATAGTGACAGATTTCATTCCACGCATTAAATCTACTCCTATTTTGAGTGACATCAAATGGAGTGCGGTCGAACGAATGGGTTGGACCGTGGACGAACGTTTGTCTCTGCCATGCTGTCCACACGGGAAAGAGATGGGCAGCATTCCACCGTCGCCAAGTTTATACAACATGAACTTGACGAGTCACAGAATAAAGTAACCTTGCTTCACCAGCAATATTCTTAACAGTTATAACTGTTTAGAATACAGAAGGCACATACTGCTGTTCCCGGGGCGACATACACGCGTCGACCCGAGACTTTGAAGATAGACATCTCAAGGTACAGAGGAGGCGCGGAAGACTCCCTGCTGAGAGGTTCGTCGAATTGAACGAAGCTATGAGAGCTCGTCACATCGTCGATGAGAGAATTCGTCTTGCATTTGCTCCGTCGAACCCGGCTGGACGTGTCAAAACCTGGGCATCATGCTTAAGTTGCACGATTAATATGGGGTTGGGTCGTCGGGGTCTTCTAGTCTCAGCTCAGACAACGTTTAACCCACCAAGCACTGAGCTGATGGATCGATCAGAGCTCTTAAAACTTAAGCAGGGTAAGCGTGATATGCACATTTTCTCCCAACAAATACGACTCCTTGCCAGTTGTATCACGGCCAATTAGGTTCATCAACAAACAACGATCACTGTGTTCATGAAAGATCTTGCGATGGTGCCGTCAAGACACACCTGATCCGCTCGGAACTGTATGCGCTGGAAGAAGCGATATCAGTTGCGGAACAGGAAGACTTTAGCTTGAGACAGGCTCAAGATATTTCGTGTTCATATTGTACTCAGGACGACAAGAAGTCGGGCGTCCAGAACCTATTCACCTCTGTTGTATTAAAAAGCGAGTGTTTTTGCTCTTCAGCCAACAAGTGATTTCAGAAGTGCAATCGCTGTCATGAGTTAAAATACTACGCTTACGATTGTAGCGCCCAACATTCAGCGTCTCAAAAACTGAGCGAACTGTTCGACCATCTATCAAGAAGAGCAATGGACGCGGGTCAAATGTTATTGCGAAATAACAACAGCGTAGCGGACCGTTTATTAATGATCAGGATTTTAAGTGGCAAAGCGCCCTTCTGATCCTATAACCTCAAGAGAATTCTCGAATCCCATGATGAAAGTTGTTTCAGGCTCAAAATCAATGTGTTTCTCTGCACTTGGTGATGAGGCATCCCTTATCACCTTTAATTTAGATGTGACAGGAGATTTTTCACTTCTTGCTCTAGTATAGTGTGGGATGAAGAACAACTTTGTTCGTCGCCAGTCTCTTGAGGATCGTAGGCTTTTTTTAATGAACGCGATATTCCTCCGAGGAGGAAGACGGCGCACCTAGCAACAGGCGCATCGAACATTATTGAAACGTTAGTGGGGCTTCACTACAAATTAGAAGATCTGCGATACAATTGTGATTTCATCGACTTGATTTAGATGAAAGAGATGTCACATTAGGGTTCACCTAACTTAGAAGGTACAAGCCAAGTGTCAGCTGGCAGCATCGATCCATATAGATGCAGGCTATTTGTATATTAGATAGCCATCTTAAAAACGTCTATGAGCGGCCACTAGCGTGTGGATGTACTGCGAGTGAGTGCGATGGTCTCACTTGCGGTACGTTTGTTAGGACAACTGCACAAGAACACAGTGTGACAATTAATCACAATATGGAGGAAGCTGACTGCGGCTGTGCGGATGCACAGGCAGCGCTTAAGGTTTACCACTCGAGCAAATCGAGTGTATCGGTACACGGTGGACTATTAGCAGGCCACATCCAAGTAAGAATAAACCAGATGCCTACACAGAGCAACACGATGACCCTAGATAGGCTAGACAATCGAACGCAGTGGACCTAGCTGTGGTAGCGCAAACACAGCTGGAAGAAGTCGAGGATGTAAGACCCCACGTATATGAGTAAAAGCTCCTTAAGCAATTATCGACGAGGTAACAAGACCTCATCAACCTGAGAACAAATGAGCATCTAGTAGCCGTAAAAAGGGTCCCCAGGAAGAAACTAAGACTTTGAAGGTCTTGGTTAATGATGGGTCAAGTGTAGGCGCTAATACACTTGATCACGTTACGCTTCCGAAGTTGATTTTGGAGATTTGAAAACTGTCAGCGATACAAACAGAACGTTTTCTGCAAGATCTGCGTACTAGCAAGGTCAAGAAGATCTGTGTACTCGTCACAGAGGACGATAACGGGACAGACATTCGGTCGGCAGTGGTACTTGCCGAGAAAGAACTGGTTCCCAGCAGCTCAACTACGAACATAAGTGTCCTCGATTAGAAGACGAGGAATGAGCGATGCACGTCTCAACCGTTGGAGGCATTGAAGACAAATCCCTTGAATAAGGATTTGGTCAAATTCAGGGATGTTTGCCCAGAATCTGTACAATGTGAGTTGCCCAAGGAAAAAGGAACTCGGCATGAAATTGAATTGTAACCTGGTTCGAAGTACTGTGTCATGAAGCAGTGACCACTGCCTTTTTAGCAGGTCACAGCGATCAACAAATTCTTTGCCAATCGCTTTGCAGCGGGCCATGTGAGGGAATATACTTCCCTGCACAGATTTTCCGACCACAGGGGGATGGCGGACAGTGCACGCAATTGACAAGATGATTGCTGCAACGGTACGGCTTAAAGTCCGGTACCGAAGGGGAAGTAATCATAGGTGGTATGGCAAAAAGTGACTTTTCTTGTGTAATGATCTGATGGATGCGTTATATTAAATCCATATGTGTTAGCGGGATATACCGCAAACAGCAGTGAGCACCCCCAGCGGTGCGCTGTTGAAGTGGCTAGTGATGCCACGGAGGCTGAGTAACTCCCCTGCAACGCTCAATATATGCGTTACGAATCTGTTGAGATTAGTTCGAGATTTTGCACCTAGTTACTCTGATTACAGTTTGTTCATAGCCGGCTACGGATGAAAAGACGGACGTAGAGGTTCACAGAACCCTAGTTCGTCAGGTTCTTACACTTACGCGTAAGCGTAAGCTGCACGCCAACCTCGAGAAGTGTTTATTTGCTGCTAGCAAAAAACCACTTCTTGGGTGCATCGTGAGTGTAAACGGCGTACGCTC